AGTATATGACAAAGATTATATAAAAAATTAATGGGAGAAGATAAAAAACTCATAAAACAGGCAAAAGAATAGAACAATTCTAGGAAGAGGAAGCTGGATGTCCAATAAACATATGAAAAAATAATCTCCTTCATAAGCAGGAAATTAAAATAGAGGCAAAATTTCACATACCTCAAAGTGGCAAAACTTAAAAAGACTGATACAAGCAAGTGTTGGAGAAGAATATGGAGAAACGGGAATTATCATATATTGCCAATAGATATGTAAATTGGCCTAATCAAGTTAGAAAACATTTTGACAATATCTAATGCAGTTGAAGCTGTGCATACCGTACTACCTAGGATTTCCAACCTAAGGAGACGTGTCCCCAAGGTTTATTGCAGCATTATTTGTAAGAGTGAATTATCTACCAAAAGAATAACAAATAAACAGTATAGTTTATACAGCTGTAAAACGTACACTAAAATAAAGTTTCTAGCGATACTTGTATCTAGATAGACAAATCTCAAAACAGTGTTAGATGATAAAAAAACTGCAGAATGACATTTATGATATGATACCATTAACATAGTATTTTAAAACATGAAATAATGTTGGATATGTATAATTATAAAAGTAAAAAAAAAAAGCATGAGAAGATAAACAAACACCAAATTCAGTGTAAGAATTTACCTCTGACCATGGTGGGAAAAAATGGGGTCCAGATAAGTTACATGGGGGAGTTTCAACTATAATTCGTAATACCCTATTCCTTTGGAAAATAAAAATACCGGAGGACAAGACAGTAAGAAATAAATATAATAAATGATTCACATTTTCTATGACCCATTTCTCCGTCCAGTCCAGCCTGGTCCCTAAGACAAGGAAGGCAAGAACACAGAGTGGCTGGCAGGGAAAGGACTATTGAATTAGATCAGGATTTAATCTTGTCATCACTGAAACGCATGTGAGTAAGGACAGCTCTGGTTTATGCCACATCACTTAATTTCTAAACAGAAAAATATGGAGAGAAGTAACTGGAGAGATAGCAAAATACTTTTAGTGTGTGCATTTTTTACTGAAAACAGTAACTTTTGAATTGAATGTGATTCAGCAATGCCCAGACATGGACTTTAGGATTTACAGATGACTTGGGTCACTTATGGTGAAGCTGAAGGAAATACATAAAATGAACATAAGCAGGCTCTTTGGAAATTCTCTTAAAGTTTAAGTGGCTCGTAGCAGAAAAAAAAAATCAGAAAATAAAATATCTGTGCTCTAATCCTCTTGTACGTCTTGAAATTCAAAATCTGACCGTGGCTTTGATGTGCGGACTTCATGCCGCAGGGCATGAAATATCGAGTGGCCTTCTAACTCCTCTTTTCAGAAGAGGACACCCTGGCGGGGCTGTGAAACAGGACTGCAACAGGGGAGGCGTTTCTGCTCTGTGGCTGCTTTGTCCGTTAGCTTTCATTTTGGTTCTCTTAGAGCCAGAGTCAGTAGCTGGATTTGGTAGATTCCGGGGTTAGTAACTATGCTAGGTTGAAAGAAAGACCTTCAAATGGGTGCAAACGTCTTTGGAAGTTTTGAACTCAAAACTCAAGAGTTTTTAGGAGTTTATTTATTTGTTTACATGGAACATAAATTAGTTCGTTGTGAAATGTTACCTTTATATGGGAAGACCAGGGATGAGACAAAGATAGAATAGAAACTTTTTAACCAGAGAATACGCATAGTCTGCGGAGAGATGATCACAACATATACTGATGTACAAAAGCCTTCTTAACTTTTTCATAGAGGTTGGCTTGGTTTTTCAGAAAATTCTAGGAAAAGCAAAGCTTTAACATGTAGCTTCAATCCTTTCTTGATCTCTTCAATCAAAAGCAAAAATAGGTTAAGACCCTGAGGAACAAAATGAAAT